AAACAATCATAGAAGTATTTAATGTATGATTCATAAATAAATAATGATGTTGAAACCAATTATTTATTTATTAGTATTATTTTTAATATTAAGTAATAAGTCAGGACTTTATGAATTACTTTTTTTTCTGTGATACATAGTATAAAAAACATGAAAAATTAACCATTGGTTTTTGTTGTAGATATTAAAACCCTTTATTTTGAGACGGGAAAAAATTGAAACTGATCTAAACCTCCCACCAAAAAAGGAAATTGTTATTTATGCTCCACTTACAGAAACACAAAAACAATTATATGAAGCAACATTGAATAGGCAAATGGAAATATTACTGAATAAAGCAAAGGTATTTTTTATTTTTATAATTTATAATAAATGYCTATTTTTCAAAAACTTTTTTTGACATTTGAGGTTMCACTCATAATCTACTACTATTACTTTTATTAATTATAATTGTATAAATGATAACTTGTTTTTTTTTCAGGATACTGAAAATCTTATTCTAGAAGTAAATAGTAAGAGAAGATGTGTGGAGAGCATAGTAAAATACACTGATCATAATGCTATCAGAGTAAATGTGCCAGAAAAAGAGTAAGTGTAAAATAGTCTAAGTTTTGTTGATGACTGAATTTTTTATTTCAATTGATAAAAAAAATAATGTAATAACCTATTTCAAAGTAATATTCTGTATTCTATRTTCATCATCAAATCAATATCTTGTAAACTTCTAGAACTTTTTAGATATATGTTTGATACTTTCCCACTAAGAATAAAATATTACATGTTAAGAAATGTTTTTACTTASATACATTGTGTATTTTTAAATTTGAATTAATATGGAAATTACCAACTTAATTTTGTTTTCCTGACTTATTCTTGATCGATGATTTAATAGTTAGAGTTGTAAGTCTATGAACTTCTGTTTTTTCTTTTTTTGTACCTAATGTTAGGCTTTGTCTTTAAAATAACTACTGTAATGTTGAGTAAAATACTGATACCTACTAACCACATATTATGATAGTACATAACTAATTATAATTTAATTAATTTTAGTCCTCAAGAGAAAAGCATGGCTATTTCAGTACATATGCAAAACTCATTTATTCAATTGAAGAAAATTGTTAATCATCCATATCTTGTTCAAATGCCTTTAATTCCAGGAGAAAATAAATTGCTTGTTGATGAAAACATCATTAAAGTTAGTGGTAAATTTCAGTTACTTGATGCTATGTTAACAAAATTGAAAATACTTGGCCACAAGGTAATGTATTTATATATATTTAAGGTATAATTTATCAATTATAATTAATATTCAATACTTATATTTAAAATTTTTCAACAAAGCATATTAAGATGGCACATTAGTACAAAAATGTCCTTTGTCTTACAGACATAGAAATTATTTAAAACTAAAAATTTGTCTTTACTCTGGCTTTCAGGAGAAAAACTTGTCTGTCGGTACGCATTATCCCTTTTCTATTTACCATACAAAGCCGTTTGGCTACTATCGCCTAGATAATTGTTGACATTTGTGTATATATACTATATAGCAATAGCAGTTATAACAATTTCACTTCATTTATTTTTGAACTAATATTATAACGGATACATCTTTTATATTTATTGCATGAAATACCCTTTAAATTGTACTAGAAGATCAATGTGATCAATATGGCGACTCAATGCATTTGCTATGTGTTTTTATTAGTCGCTCTATACATTCCACCAAGTAGTAGGAAAAGAAAATATGGTGGTTAACAACACACTAGCAACAATCACGATCATCAGTATTAATACATAGAATATAGTCATTCTCTCATGAGT